CGACTCACTCGCTCCCCGGTGGGCAGACTCCTGCAGCTCACGCCCCCTGGAAGGGACAGAACCCTGTCCCTGGCACCCTCCATTGGGCGGCGCCCAGGAGGGACATGGCTGTGCCCCACCGGCCTGGCCTTGTCACTTGTCACCTGGTGTCTGCCCCTTTGCAGCTGCAGAAAGACACGAGTCAAGATTCACACCGGCAGGCTTGCTCCCACGTGGCATGTGGCTAGGGCCAGCTCACCGTTGGTCGCTAAAGAGTGGGTGGGACTCCCTGGAGGACCCACAAGCTCACAAAAAGGCCCCAAGGCCAAATGCCGTGGTCACCGCCCTGTGAGAAAAGTAGAACTGGGTGTGCGGTGGGCGATCCATCGATCGCTAGCCCTCTCTTTGGAGGTACTTTGAGTGGCCTGAAACCTCCCCCTTTGGGGTAGCAACCCTAGCCGTTTTCTAAGAACCGTGGAGGCTGGAAGTGTTTCTTGGTTGTGGGTGAACCAGACTGCTCTGATTACAAATCCCTCGTGGGTGAGAAGGCATGACCAGATTTGAGACTTGGCTCTCCTACTTGCCCGTTCCAACCCCCTCTGGCCCACGATGCCTCAGTCTCTTCATTTGTAAAACAGAGAGAACACAGGTCCAGGTGGCACTTTTTGGGTAAGTGCTGGGCTGCCCACCACGAGGTCTGTGGTTCAAACCTACCAGCTGCTCCTAGGGAGACTGATCCATACCCTTGGAAACTCAACGGGGGCAGTCCGACTCTGTTCGACAGGGTTGCTGAGTTGAAATTGACTACATGGCTTTGGAGTGAGCTACTGGGCCTTGCTGAGTGTGGTGGTGTGGGTGTGACACCTCTTGTTCTTTTCCATGCCCATGAGGGAGACCCAGCCCGAGAGTTGTCACTGGTTGTGACCGTGGGTGACTCCTTTTAGTACCCGCATCCTCCGTTTGCCCCGCTGTAAAGTGGGATCGAAAATACCCATCCCGTTTGGAACCTGATCTGAGTAGCAATTGTACAAATCTGCTTGACGAGATCGAACATGGAATGGTATGATATATGCATTAACTCCCAATTCATAAGTTTATTTTAATGCCACTCCACTTATGCTCACCAGCTGAGAGCAACAAAAAACAAACACCAGACCCACCGCCTTCAAGCCCACTCCTCGAGGACAGAGAACTGCCCACCAGAATTTCTGGGGCTAGAGGAGCTCGTGGGTTTGAACCATCAACCTATAGGTTAGCAGCCCTCTAATTACCCAGGGCTCCTTATCAGATGACAATGTTGTTAGGTGTCATGGAGGCAATTCCGACCCAGGAGGACCCTAAGCACAGCAAAACCACACACTGCCTGGCCCTGGGCCATCCTCACAATGGTTCCTATGCCTGGCCCATCGAGGCAGCCCCTGTGCCACACCTTGTCAAGATGCTTCCTCTCCTTCACTGCCCCTCCACTTTACCAAGCAAGATGCCCTTCTGCAGGGACTGGCCTCTCCTGACAGCATGTCCACAGTATGTGGGAGGACGTCTCCCCCTCCTTGCCGCTAAGGAGCACTCTGATGGTACTGCATTGATTCTTCTTTGGTCTTCCTGATTCCAAGTTCAACTTTCCTATGCTATGGCTTGGGTCAGGCACACCTTAGTCCTCAAAGTAGCCTCCCTGATTTTCAGGTGGGAAGAGACTGCTAAGTCATTTTTCCTTTTTCTTTATTCAGTGGTTTCTGTGAAGCTTCGTTGTGAAAACTAGGGAGTAGTGTGGAAAGATGGCCCACACCCAAATCTCCATGTATCTGCCCCCAGACATCAACCCCACCCAGGCGGCCATTGCCTACGGCTGCCGGGCCCTGCCCAAGCTGAACGAGGAGCTGCAGTCAGAGAACCTTCGGACGAGGCAGAAAGCCCTCATGGCGCTGTGTGACCTCATGCACGACCCTGAGCATGTCTACCAGGCCATCCAGATAGGTGAGGCCCCGATGGGACAGCACTGCCAAATGGCCTAGGTGCCCCATCTCCCCCTGCTCTGTGTCCCTCCCATCCCAGCAGGTCATCCTGGCGTGGATACTTGTCCCAGAGTCATAGTAGCCCCACTGTGACAGTCACCCCCACAAAGTGCCTTGTAGGTGGGCCACTTCCACAAGGCTGGCACAAGAGGTGGGTCTTCCCATCATCAAGGGAAAAGCTTCCTCATGGAAGCTTTTGGCACTGGGACTGCTTCAGCAAGCAGAGTTGCCACCGAGGAGCTAACCCTGGGCCCGGTACCCCATGCACAGTGGCTGTGCTAGCTGAGTCCTCAAAGCGGCCACCCGAGGGAGGAGGGAGGATCCTTGTGGCTGTTAGTTGACATTGAGGCAGCTCCGATGGCCCCTAACGACAAGCCAGTGCACAACAGAACGAAACGCTGCCTGGTCCTGCACCGTCCTCCCAGTTGTTCCTAAGCTGGAGCCCGTCGGTGTAGCCGCAGTGTCCATCCATCTTGTTAAGGGTCTCTCTCTTTTCTGGCCCTCTGCTTTACCAAGCACGATGCTCTTCTCCAAGGACACGAGGCGAAGTCTCGCCATCCTTGCCTTATCTGTTGGTTCTTTTGGCAGTCCATGGTACTTTCAATAGCCTCCTCCAGCCCCACGGTTCACATGCTTCGATTCTTCTTTGGCCTTAAGTAGTCGCTGTTCAACTTTCACATGCAGATGAGGCGATGGGAAATACCATTCCGGAAGTCAGGCACACCTTAGGAGTCCTCAAAGTAACATCCTTGCTTTTCGATGCTCTAAAGAGGTCTCACGCAGCAGAGTTATCAAAACATGTCTTTTAATCTCTCGATAGCTACTTTCATGAACTTTGATTGTGGATCCAAGCAAGACAAAAATCCTTGACAACCTCAACCTTTTCTCCAGGTCTCATGTTAGCTATTGGTCCACTTGTGTGGGTGCCGGTCTTCTTTGCATTGCAATCATGTACTCACACCGAAGGCTGCGATCCTCGAGCTTCCTCTGCAAGTGCCTCAAGGCTGCCTCACTTGCAACAAGCAAGGTTGTGTCATCTGCATGCCACAGGCTGTCCAAGCAGCCTTTCTCGCAGGCTTCACCAAGGGCCGAGTCAAGGCTACCAGCTACATCCACGAAGCAGGCTTTGTCTACTCATTCTTTTCACTTAGTTCCGTTTTCTTTCTTCTTTCCTCCAGCCGACTCAACATGTCTCACCCGACGTTTTATCATGAAACGAGTGAAGGTTGGCAGCGCAGATCACTTTTTCTATCAGGACACAAATGGTTTCATCTCATCGATTGCCATTCCCACAGTGGAGCATCTCTCATCCCAGCCCACTTCCTCTCTGTGTTCCCTGTTTCTACTTCTCTTCCTTTCCTAACCCATCTGAATGTTGTCCTGGGATAAATACTGCCCGCTGAACTCAAACGGTTGATGGTTCTCAGGGAGGCATACCTCCCTGGTGTTATTCTCCATATGGGCCTGGATTTTGTTTGGTTGAACATCGAGCCATCGTGGTGAGTTCATTTTCAGACCTGAAGGGTGACAAAGGACCATAGTCTCAAGGGTCCCACCAGTCTCTACCCACATTTTTCTCCCCATCTATCCAGGACCTTTTAATATGAGTCCTTTCAGAGTGTTTGATAGGGTGGCCGGGTACCACCTTGTAGAGGCGGAGGCTTATGTGGTCCACTAGACCATTGGACAATTTGTGTCCATACACCATCAATTGACTTCACTTTTCTTTCCTCCACACAGGGTGAGGCCAATAGTTGTTGTTGCTCTTTAGATGGCCACGCATGAGCTCTTAAGACCCCTGTGCTAATCACTGGAGCCCTGGCAGCATAGTGGTTATGCATTGTGCTGCTAACTGTAAAGTCAGCAGTTTGGAACCACCAGCCAGCTCCTCCGTAGAAATACGAGGCTTTCTATTCCTATAAAGTGTCCCCATCTCAGAAACTCACAAGGGGTAGTTCTCCTATAGGATCGCCATGAGTCAGCATCGGCTCGATGGCAGGGAATTTGGTCTTGGTTTGGTTGCGGCTCACCAAAGTAGGGTGTAGACCATATGTTATGCCAACTGACCTGGACGTCCCCCTACACGCTAGTTGGCATCCCTGTTCAGTGACTCACCCCCTCAAGGTGTTTGGTCATGGCTAAGAAATGGTCATACCTCTGCCCCCGATGTGTTCTACTGTGTTCATGCATATACTTGCAGCAACGGCAATTACATTCATTCAACCATCCTCGGTTAAACCTAGGCACATTTGTGGGTGTGCTTCCACTCTTCCTGCTACTCCTGTCCAGCCGCATGTCTGTCTGTACAGTCAACGCTGGTTTCTTATGATTGCAGGATTTACCTCCATCGCCGTCAACACAGTGTCTTTCAGCTTGTGCGGCCCTCCCTCTTGTGGTATATTGCCTTTCCCTTCACCCCAGTGTCTCCCACAGCGGGCACTATTTGTCTCTCCTTTTCCTCTGGTATATTTGCCTGTGGTTTGTTAATGTTTGTTCACCTTTTCAAAGGGCCAATCCTAGTCTTGTTGATTCTTTGTTTTTCTGTTTTGGATTTCACCCATTTCTGTTCTGGTCTTTACTATGTCTTTTTTCTGTTGAGTATAGGCTAATTTAGCCCATCTTTCTCTTATTATTATTACTTTTAACCATTTTATTGGGGACTCATAACCCTTATCACAATCCATATAGCTCTTTCTCTAATTATTGCAGAAGTTTGGTCAAGGTATTGATCTTTATTTTCTTCTTCTTTTTAAATGGGTGTTTACTGCTATAAATAGCCCCTTGAAATAGCTTTTGCTTTTGTCAAAGGGATCAGGTATAAGGCATCATCAGAACAAAAAATCTTACCATAGTGAATGATGGGGGGAGTGCGAAGTGGAGATCCAAAGCCCATTAGTAGGCCACTGGAGATCCCCTTGCAGAGGGGTCTGGGGAGGAGATGAGCCAGTCAGGGTGCGATGTAACAACGATGGGAAATACAACCTTCCTCTAGTTCCTAAATGTTCTTCCCCGCTCCCACTACCATGACTCGAATTCGACCTTGCAAGTCTGGCTAGACCAGAGGATGTACACTGGTACAGATAGGAACTGAAAATCCAGGGAATCCAGGGCGGATGAGCCCTACAGGACCAGTGGTGTGAGTGGCGAAACAGGGGGGGTTAAAGGGAGAATGGGTAGGAAAGAGGGAACCGATTACAAGGAACTATATGTGACCTCCTCCCTGGGGCACAGACAACCGAAAAGTGGGTGAAGGGAGATGTTGGATAGGGCAAGATATGACAAAATACCAATTTATAAACTATCAAGGGCTCATGAGGGAGGGGGGAGCAGGCAGGGAGGGGAAAAATGAGGACCTAATGTCGGGGGTTTAAGTGGAGAGAAAATGTTTTGAGACTGATGTACAAATGCACTTTACACAATTGATGTGTGTATGGATTGCGATAACAGTTGTATGAGCCCCTAATAAAATGTTTAAAAAAAAAAAAAGAAAGAAATAGCTTTTGCTATGTCCAAAGGTTTGGGTATGTTGTGTTTTCGTTCTTGTTTGATTCAAGGGATTTTTTTAGTTTGTCTGCTTCCCAGTAGTTTTTAAACAGGGTGTTATGCGATTTCCGGGTGTTTGGCTTCCTCCCCCACTCATCTACCTATTGTTGATTTCTAATGTGGTGTTACTGTGATCTGAGAAGGTGCGTTGAAATATCTTGATGTTTTAAATTTACTGACATGTTTGTGGCCTAACCTACGGTCCGTTTTGGAGACTGTTCTGTGCGCACTGGGAAAGGATGTGCATTGAGCTGTTGTTGGATCAAGTGTTCCGTGTGTGTCTTGGAGGTCAAGTTGGTTGGCTGTGTTCTTTAGTTCTTCTGCGTCTTTGTTGAGCTTTCTAATTATTCTGTCTTTCTCTCTAGTTGTTCTGTCTTGGTGTATTAAAGTCTCCGGCTACTATTACAGAGTTGGCGATCTCTCTCTTCAACTCTGTTTATGATCAATGCCTATTGAGGCTCTTTCATTGGGTGCATTGATATTTATTATCAATACATCTTCGTGATTTTCTTCTCTAGTCGGCCCTGTTTGGGCCTCACCGAGCATTTTTGAATGCATGTTTTCCCATCTTTCACAACATCGGACAGGTTTTCTTCTAACCACTCTTCAATCATCTTCCTGCCACGGTCATGACTGAATACTGCCCGCCAAGTTCAAAGTGGACACGCCGTGTCAGGCCAGCTGGAAGTTTGTCCTCTCCATCTGCCTCCTATCTCATCTTTGTTTACTCAGCTTCTTCTGAAAGTTGGAACTGGATCCACTTGTTTTTTCTTTCCTTTGAAGGTTGAGGTTCCAGGGCTACGATAACGGTCTGCACCATTTGGTCTCTCCTGTCTTTGCCCTAGAGGCTCCGGGTAGTCTTTCTGCCTGGTCCTCCACCTTCCAGAAATTCTGCCTCACGGTTTTTACATGTACAATGCAGTGATACCCATTACACTGGTCATGTGTGCAGTCACCACCGGCCTCCTCGGTCAACCTTCCCATCGCCTTATATCAAAGGGTACTCAGCCATTCTCTCTTCAACTCTAAAAGAGTTTGATCAATGCCTTTTGAGGTTCTTTCATTGGGTGAATTAATATTTATCACGAATAGGTCTTCCTGATTTGTTTCCTAAGCAAAATCTTGCCCTCTCCCCTCCCCACCTGCCCCTGAGAACCACCCAGTGAAGGCCTTATCACGGTGCATCTGCCTATTCTAGAACTGACATGAAGGGGAGGCATAGGCTCTTTGGCCTTTGGTGACCAACTGACGTCCTGGCATGGCAATCTCCGGTCCACCCACGTCACAGGATGTGTCTGGACTTCACACCTCTCTGTGGCTGAGGGATACTCCATTGTTGGGCTGTTGTTGATGTTGCCAGGGGCCATCAAGTCAGTTCTGACTCAGAGGAACCCTCTGTACAGCAGAGCAAGACGCTGCTCAGTCCTGCACCATCCTCACAACGGTTATGTCTGAGCCCAATGGTGCAGCCGCTGTGTCCATCCATCTCCCCAGTGGTCTTCCTCTCTTCCATGAGCCTCTCTCTACTCTACAGAGCATGGTGTCCTTCTCCGGAGACTGGTCCTTCCTGAGAATCTATGTCCAAAGTACGTAAGGTGAAGTCTCACCGTCCTCACTTGCAAGGAGCATTATGGTGATTCCTCTCTCTGGAACGATTTGTTTGCTCCTCTGGCCGCCCATGGTACTTCCAATATGATGGGCCAGCACGTCATTCAAATGCACCAGTTCTTCTGCAGGCTTGTCCGACTTCCATATGCAGAAGAGGCAACTGGAAATCGCACGGCTTGGGTTAGGTGCACCCTTATTCCTCAAAATGACATCTTTGCTCTTTCCCCCTGCACTGAGGCAGATTGACTCCGTGCGATCCATTGTCTATCTCGACTGCTGCCCCCATGAGCGTTTATTACATAGATCCACGGGCAAGATGAGACCCTTGAAAACTTCAGTCTTTTCTCTGTCTATCATGATGTCGTCTCTCGGTCCAGTTGTGGGCCCTTTGCTTTCTTTACACGGAGTTGCAATCCACGCGGAAGGCTGCAGTCCCTGATCGCCATTAGCAAGTGCTTCAAGCACTCTTCGCTTGCAGTCTGCCTATCGCAGGTTGTGGAATTCAAGGTTGGCTGAATGGATGGGCGACGTTTCTGTCAATCCGTTCACCTGGGGAGGGCCAGTTGGGCTCGCTCCACCTTGGAGTCTCTGTAAATTATGCTGTAGTGAACCTTGGTGAACAGTGTCTGTCTGATTCACCAAATAAAGCTGGATTCCTCCCACTAGATGTGGCCGCCCTAGGTGCAGCCTGCTATCGTGCACAAGACAAGTTTGGGGTAGGACCACATCTGTCCTTGGGTCCCTCTGGTGCAGTGGCCATCTTGTGAACCCTGGTGGAGGGCATTGGACATTCCTGTGGGCCGTGAGGTGGGCCTGCTCACTCAGAATGGTCCCCCAGGCAGGGTCACCTGCTGCCCTGAGGGCAGGCTGGTGTCCCCGGCGGTCACTCTTTACAACCATCTCTGGTCCCAGGCTGCCTGGAGAGCCTGAAGGCTCTGCTGAGGGATAGCAACCACTTGGTGCGGATCAAGACCACCGAGGTGCTGTGCATCATGGCTACCCACAACATAGGCAGGTAGGTACTAGCTCCTCGGCATGACTCTGCTCACCCATGTCCCCACACAGCCAGCCCAGCACAAGGCGGGGTGCATGGGCTGCTCTGTGGAGGGGGGTTGTGTGTGTGGGGACTCCCAGCACCCCAGGCCCGCTTTGAATGTGTGCTCTTGGCTCTGAGCTCCCCCTCCCCTCTGCCCCACCCCACCCGCAGCAGCTGCAAAGAAGGTTCAGACTCCACAGTGATGACACTTTCTCCTTCCCAGCTTGCGGCTTCCTTGAGCCGCTCACAGCCCCCTGGGTCCCCTCCAAGGCACAGGTGCTAAGGTGCCAGAGCCTCAGAAGACACCTCTTGCTCAGCTAGGTGCTTGCTACCCTTCCTTCTACCCCGAAGGAGCATGAGGTGCTTTTGTCTCGGCTTCCGGCTCCAAGACATGCCCCTCATGTGGCCATGCCTCTCACTGAGTCCCTGGGGGTGCCCTGTCAGCGATGAACCCCAAACTGAGAGATTCCAGTTCTCCCACAGGTACCGCAGCTGGAAGGCATGACAGCCATTTCGGAAGCCCAATAGCACAGGGAGAGGGGGAGGGGTGGGGAGTGGGGGTGCAGGAGCGGGGTTGACCAGCAGCATTAGCTCAGTGCCTCTTCTTGACCTGGGATCACTGGCCTGGCTTTGTACTCAATCAGAACTCAATTCTACAGCACCCTCAGGGTCTGCCCAAGTGCCCATGGATCCATGGCCTGGCACCCACCTCCCAAGCCCCCGTGGCCTGGTGCCTACCTGCCCCAAATTGCCATGGTTCCCATGGCCTGGTACCTACATGACCAGACATCAGGAAGAGGGGATCCCTTCCAGGCGGAGCTGTGTGGTGTTCAGAGAGACTTCAGAGGATGTGTCAGGAGCCCTGCTGACACAGTGGTGATGTGCTGGGCTGCTGACCCCAAGGCCAGCGGTTTGAAGCCACCAGCCGCTCTGTGAGAGAAAGACGAGGCTTCCTACTCTTGTCAAGAGTTAGTCTCAGAAACCCACAGGGGGCCAGTTCTACCCTGTCCTAGGAGGTCACCAGAAATTGGCACGGAATTTGAGTTTAGGCCATTTCCCCCAAAGCCAAAGTTACCCAGCCCTGCCGTGCCCCAAACTCCATGTGCCTCCTATCTCCAGTTGCCACCTGTGTTAGTCTGGGTAGACTAGAAAAACAAATCCAGGGAGACACTCATTTGTGTATAAGCAAGAGATTTATATACAAGAGTAATTGAGTATTGAGAAAACATCCTAGCCCAGTCCAGATCAAGTTCATAAGTTCAATATTAGCCCATATGTCTGATACCAATCTATAAAGTCCTCCTCAGACTCACAAAACATAGGCAATGACAGGAAAATCTAGGCCAGTGGGTAGAAAGTCTTTGGATCCAGTGGCATTGTAAACATCTCAGCACTGGCTGGGGTCTCCACGTGGCTCCTGCAGTTCCCAGGGCACGGGGTCTGTTAGCATAGTGTGACATCAGTCTTGTCAGTAGAGTGTCTCTCGGGGAGTGAACCCAGAGAGAGATAGTGTCTCCAGCCTCCAAGAAAGAACACTGGAGTTCCCAGAATCCTCAGGGGGAAGGCCACGCCTACACAGAGGCCTCATTGGCTATGACCCAATTGACAGGCTAGACTCCACCCCTTCACTCTTAATCCTCTCAAGTCCCAAATTGACACCAGATGATGTAACTCCCACACCACCTCAAAACCAAACCTACTCATTGTGACAGGCGGTGACCCCATTGGACAGAACAGAACTGCTCCTTTGGCTTCCGAGACTGGCAGTCTTTACAGGAGCAGACAGCTAGTCCACAGCCCCAGCAGAGCCCCTGAGTTGCCGTGCCAGGGGGCAGGGGGGCCGTGTCCACAAGGCAGGGTGCCTTGGAAGTGGACTTCTGCTCTCCCGGCCCCAGTGAG